CAATCGTCTGAAGACATAAAGACTCTTGTTTACTTTTTTGGTTATAAGATCCATTTGAAAACGCCAGGTTCCGATCTCATCGATCATCACATCCAGTGATTCAGTGGTGCTAACTCGCTTAATAGCCGTATATTACCAATCACAATCCGAAAATCAGAGTTCCATTTTTTGAGATCCTATTGGGAACCAATAATCAATAATCATATACTCAGTTTTGCTTCTATTTAAGCTTAATTTATTGGCTGCCACTGATCCAATCTGAAATATTTGTTAAATTACTGTTTAGCGTTTTGGTGTTTTGGTAATTGATTTTGTGTCTTTACCTGCAACTCCTATTTGGGTATCGTCTGCAAACATATCACAATCCGCATTTTTCAAACTGCTAGGAAGATCGTTAATATAGATAAGAAATAGTAAGGGGCCAAGAATTGAGCACTGTGGGATACCAGTAATCGTTGTACGTGGTCCAGACAATTTACTATTAACTTGGTAATATTGGGTACGGTTAAATAGATACGATTTAAACCAATCATGGGCTTTACCTTTCACTCCATAAAGGTGTAACTTGCTTAATAAAATATCGTGATCAACAGTATCAAAAGCCTTTTTTTAGTTAATCTCAGAGGAATTAAAAAAATTCATATCGAAGGAATGTGGCCTTGATATATCATCGTCAACAATACGTCGTATTAGACGTGAAAAACTAGGATGGAAATATGAAAATACTAGGTATTGTCAGTTTGTTCGTGAGCCGAACAAGGTTAAAAGGCTGTCATTTTGCCTTGACGCCTTAGCGAGAAAGGATACGTTCGAAGACGTTATTTTTACTGACGAAAGAACCGTCCAAATCGAGCAATACGCCAGAGTCTCGTTTAGAAAAGATGGTACCCAAGCCAAGCGAAAAGGACGCCCAAAGCATCCGTTGAAAGTTTGTAAACATTTCCTCTTTTCTAAATGAAAAATTGGAAATATAATAGAACAGGGAACCGGAGAGAACATGTGCAATCCCTTACATACTTAAATACAATCCCTTCCTTAGTTCCCTTGAGTTCTCAAGCAGGTGTGAGTGTAAGAAGTAACAGTGAGTGTAGGCGGGCTAACCTTGCTATACAATGCCTGAAAGTATGGTTTTCTCAGTACCCTAACCCTGCAAAAAACGTAGGACTTTCAATTAGACCACAGTGTGATAGAACTGCTTTCTCTCTCACCTCCAACCGCCTCCCCCCCCCTGCCCCCGCCGCCAATAATTTCTCAATCTTTGAGTAATAGATGGTATAAACATTAGACCGTGGGCTGTTGTGGGAAAAAGTGCCTAGAGGCTAGAAAAGCAATTTCGTGGCACCCCCCTGGGAAATAGATTTTCTGTAGTTCAATTTATAGAACCATAGATGCTTAATTACCACAAAAAGTTCCCAAGCAAAAACTTGCTCAACACCGAGAAAATGGGTGATCAGTGATTATCCTCTATTAAATTGTATTACAGCAAGAAAATGTGAAATTTTTATTCAATTATAACAAAAATGACTTGCATCATCAGAAAGCTTACAAAAACCTACATATAAGACATTTAAACAGTTTTTTTATATCTAATATTGTTTTCGAGTTATACGCTGTCAAAAACGGGTTTTTGACCTAGTACCCAGTACTTATTGCGACATTTTGGTCCAATTTTTACATTTAAAACAGCAATAACTTAAAGACTATTTGAAAAATAAAAAAAAACTGTTTAAAAGTCTTATATGCGGTTTTTTGTACGTTTTCCGATGATGCAAGTCATTTTTATTGTAATTGAATTATAAAATGCCCATTTTTACTGTAATACAATTTAATAGAGGATAATCATTGATCACCCATTTTCTCGGTATTGGGCAACTTTTTGCTTGGGAACTTTTTTTTGGTAGTGACGTACCTCTCTGCCTTTCAAATAAACCCCAAACTAAGTATTTCCCACATGGGTGCCACGAAACGAAACAATTTTGGCCAACAGCCCACGGCCTATGTATGCCAAAGAAATAATGATCACACGCCTTGATAGGCTTATAATTAAAGTTTATTTGCATGAAAATTAGGCAAAAAGTGGACCTTGTTTTTTGTCGGGCCAGCTGCATGTTCATAAGCTGGTTAGCTTATAACCTGGTTAATACTGGACGATAGAAATTAACAGAATACAAATAAAGAAATTCCCAGACTAGCATTAACCCATTAAGCTACAGAGCTTCCCATGCCTGACGATTAAAATCGTCTGGCGTTAGACAAGTAAAAAAAGGAGGACGCACTGGGTCGCATTGTGGCTTTTAACAACCAACTTCGGGCATATATAATCGCAATTGTGCTGCATTTTTCGCAGTCGTTCCTGGTTAGGTCTTAAAATGTATATATTCTCACTTGGATTACAAACCCTAACATCCTAATATTAATTCCACCAAGTGAAGTGCAAGAACTAAGTTATTCAAGTCCACCTTATCACAACCCGCTCACCCGATTACCTATATATACATGAACTTACGGTTACAGCTCAACAGCTGGCCTCTGTAGCTCAGTTGGTTAGAGCGCTGCTCCGGAATCGCAAGTCCGTAGGTTCGATTCCTACCAGAGGACTTTGTGCTGCATTTTTCGCAGTCGTTCCTGGTTAGGTCTTAAAATGTGCATATTCTCACTTGGATTACAAACCCTACCATCCATATATAACAATACTGTACAGTAAAACTGGTGTATAATATCAGTCAAATATTATTTTGCGGGTTCATGTCTGGGGAGGTATATCTGTTCGTGGTGTAACATCAGTGCGTGCATTTTCTGGTAAAATGGAAAGTGTCGGTTATCAGATTGTAGAAAGGAATCTGTTGCCATTTGTAAAGAAGGTTTTTTTTAAGGCGGGCACCGATTATGGCAGGACAATTGCACGAACCGCGACCGCAAACCGCACAAACCGCAACCGCAAATTGCGCGAACCGCGACCGCAAGCCGCGACCGAACTGCAGTGTTAACTTATTTCTAGGCAGTACTGTAGTAACCTTTGTACTACTAATTTCCATGTCACTTTGAAATATGGCTCCAGCAGTAGGTAGTCGTAGATTGTATAATTCAAAAATTAATTGCAAATTCTGCATGAGAATAAGGTAGATAGTTTCAACTTTTGTTCAAATCGCAGGTTGCAAAGCAAGTCCGTCGAAGAATTTAGTGCAATACTGGCCTGTACTATACTGCTTTTCTACATTTTGTGCAGAGTAAATTTTTACAACATTTGTTTATTTAACTCTATGCAAAAAACCGCATTGGCCACTGGGAGTAAAAAGCAAGGGAGACAGCAGCTAAAACACGGCCAACATTACAGTATACCTAATTCGGCAGATTTTGTTTTACTATACCTTATCCTAAGATTAGTTGAGATTTACAATATCGCGTTGCACAGTCTACTGGTTATACTTGAAGCCATGCCTCAAAGTGATAATTGTGTGAATTAGTATGGCAGTAGATTGAATATCTTATGTCTGGGATTTCTGGTTTCTGTATATCATTAAGTTTGTACTCGATAAATATGTTGAAATGTTCAATATGGTAATTCCTGATCAAATAAATAAAGTTAACTTTTAGATGTTCAAAATGTATGTAAAAATACATACGGAAAACTATTTTCTATATGACAGATCAGATATCAGATATTTCACAGCACACTCCCTATATCAGGGCTTTTCAGTGACTGG